GCCTGCTAGGTCAGCAGCAAGAAATTGGAGAAAACGGATTTGGCATCCTGCAGAGGGTATTAAATATTCATCCTGACTACCCATCAGTGAAATCCCAGCAGAATACACCTCCTGACAAGTCGGCTTTCGACACCGGAGGCTGTCCTCCTGGAAGCCCGTTTATTGCTTTGTCAATTTTAATGTGCAATACTTAACAGCCAGACCAAGGTAGGGTCGTAAACATTTGGAAAATGAGAGCTGACATCTCCCTTATTGCTTCTGTATTTAGGAATATGTAATTGGGGGGTGTCTTTGGTGCTAAAGCAAATCAGAAAAAAGTAAAGGGGTGCTTCACAATTAAAAGAGAAAAGAATTGGGCCGGCGAGTGGCGCGATGGCTAAGAACTGGCTTGGGACGCCAGAGGGCCCTGGTTCAGATCCCACATATGAGGGCCAGTGACACTGCCCTCTACATCTGGGATGCTGAACAACAGCTCAACCTGGAGATGGGCTGCCATGAGTCGCCGGCGACGGCGTAAGCTGCAACCCCTGTGGCAGTGGGTTGCCATGGGCTACCATGTGTGGCCAGCAGCCAGCGTGAGCGGCCAGCAGCCGCAGTGAGTGGCTGTCCAGAAGCCGGCGACTGGTCTGCCTCGCCCGGGAGGAGTGCAATGATGGTGCCAACTTGGGCAAGTGAGGCGACATCCTCCACAGGTAGACTGAGGAGCAGGGCGACAGCAACTTGTCTGTTCCCCTTACCCCAGTTCCCCAGCGCTGTTCCCAATCCCCCAATTCCCCAATAAAAATCTTTAAAAAAAAAAAAAAAAGAGAAAAGAATTAAGAACTAAGAATCGAATATGTTGACCTGGCTTACAGTCTAGCCTACATGCCCCTCGGGGGTCACACTGTCATCAGTGGGAGTAAGGCCAAGTGAAATTAACAACAAAAGGGGAGTGATGGAATTTCTCAAAGATTTCCTTGAGAATGTGCACGTGGCATTGGAAGCACGCACGTAGAATGGTCAGTAATAGATCACCAACAAGTGGATCGTGCATCCAGACAGAGATTCTGGTGAATCAAATACCTGAGACATGGTCACGTCAGTACGTGCGTGGCTCTGGCAAGGACTGGTCTCGGGCAGAGACCACTGAGAACGCTCCCGGGAGCAGATGACATCAGCAGCATAAGACTGAGCTAAATGGACCAGCATGAGTGAGCCAACAGCCCCTGGGTTTCTATCTGATTCTGTTGGATTAAGAATGTTCGACAAAATATTTTAAACAGGAGTTGGGGGGCAGGCGGTGGGGGGTGTTCCTATGGAAGAGACCAGAGCAGGGGTAACAGCCCGTGTTTGGAAGGGGCAAGGTGTGGAGCGAGAGGAGAAAGAAGGGAAGCCAGAACTGGTTTTGAGCTCGGATGTCCCCAAGTTTTGAAGCCATCTTGTGGCAGAAATGAGAAGAGACAGAGGAGTGAGAGGAGGCACAAACTAAACCCCTATGCTACTGGCAAACTGCGTCCTGAGGCACCTCTGGGGGTACCTTGTGACCTCAACTTAAAAAAAAAATTAAGTATTTGCTAAAGGGGGTCAGGAAATCAGGGATGGTAAACCATAGAGAGGAGAGATTAAAGCACAAGGTACTAAACAAGAGTCCTGAGAAGAAGAAAAAAAAATTGTCTAGAAAATACCATAATAGAATAAAATTAAGAGCTTGGACTCAGGAGCCAGATCACCTGTCCAGATTTTTTTTTTTAAAGATTTTATTGGGGAATTGGGGGAGGGAACAGCGTTGGGGAATTGCAAAAGGGGAACAGACAAGTTGCTGTCCTTTTTTGTTCTTCAGTCTAGTTATGGAGGACGTCGCTTCACTGGCCCATGTTGGTATTGTGATCATTGCACTCTTCCCGGGTGAGGCAGTTGCTCACCGGCCATTGGATGGCAGCTCACGGCGGCTCACAGCAACTCACGAAAGCTCACGCCCACTGCCAGCCAACCCCACTGCAGCCTACACCATGGCCAGCAACTCATGGCAGCCCAGGTCCAGGTTGAGCTGCTGTTCACCATCTTAGCTGTAGAGGGCGCAGCATCACTGGCCCTCATGTGGGATCCGAATCGGGGCCCTGCTGCTCAGAGCTGGCGTCCCAAGCCAACTCCTAACCAGCGCGCCACTCGGCCGGCCCCCAACTGCTTTTTAAGAAGGTACACTTGGGTTCAAATCCCAACTTCCCACTCACTCTTCATTTAACTTCAGCAAGTCAGACCCTATCTGAGCCTAAGCGACTCCATTTATTCAATGGGAAAGCGACAGCTTCCTTCTTGGGTTGCCATGAAGATGGAGGGAGATAATACACACCATGTACCCAACACAGCCTCCAACAGAGTCAGCCCTCTGGTATTCTTCCACTTCTCCTTCCCCGAGAACAAGAGCCCCAGCACCAACCAGAGTGCGGGGGGAAAGCAATACAAACAGGAAGCGCTTTGGAAAATATTAAGTGCTAAATGTATCAATATTTAATAACGGACAGACAGTAACACTTAAGGGACGCACTCTCCCACGCCCCAGCCACTCCCTGGATATGTGCAGCCTCAGCCCCGACCTCCGCTCTCTGCAGCCTCCAGAGGACCCCAAGAGTGCATTACTGCCCACCTTTGGGCACAGGCCTTACAACAAACAAGCCCAGCATGGCAGCGCCCCTGTCTTCTGCCAGCCGCTGCTCCTTCCGGCTTGACAGTGAAAACACAAACAAACCCACTCAGCCTCAGCCACACCAGACACAAAGGCAGTCCTCCCAGCAGATCCTGAGTCCCCTAACTCTCCAGCTACTTTTTATACCCAGGAGGCAATAAAATGATATAACGGGAAATGGAGATGCATGGAATCAGAGAGACCTCGCCTCCAATCTCAGGTCCAATCTTGAGGTCCCACTTACCAAGCTGGCTTGCCTCCTAAACTTTACTTGGGGGGCCTTTGTTTCCTCTTGGGGAAACCACACTGGGATACAAACATAGACATGATTTCATTGCTGGGTGAAATGAAAAAGAAAACAAAAATACCAAGCACAAAGCCTGGCACCCAAGAGGTACTGAACACATTTTTATTCCTTATCCCCTTGTAGTAACAACATCAACTGATCAGAATCCAAATACCTTGAACCTTCGATGAATGAACTGCTTCTTCTTCCTGCTGTGCTCCAGGCTTAGATTCCAAGTAGCAACAGAAACAAGCACATATTAGGGATTTATCCCAAAAGGCAACATCAGGCAAGGTCCTGGGGTCAGTGCTTCATCTGCCTGCCACAGCTGCAGAGCCCTGTGATGGGCACTACGGCTCACAACCCTGACCTTGAGAGCCAGAGGAGACCGCAAGAGGTGCAATTACTGTTATGAGGTTCTACTCAGTCGGGCAGGCCAGTGCGTCCCTCGGCACTTTCCACAACAAGGGCTCACACGAAATGGGGTCTCCGCTTAACCCTCCATTAACCTGAAAATCCACTTAAGCACAACAGCCTCTTCCCTGAGCGTCTTGTCGTCCAGGTTTTGGCTCTAAATGGCCAAGGAATGGTCCATTTATACAATTCACTTGTTGCAAACTCTGGTAGAGAACAGGACTCCTACGGGGGTAAAGGAGAGGTGAAGGGGAAACCCAGACATTACTATGCTGTCACCTCACATCGCTGAAAACAGTGCTGTGATCGTCTGAAGTGGCCCAGCAGACTGGGTTGGGTGCTACCCATAGCTTGAGCAGGCAGAAAAATCCTTTCTGTGAGGTGTTCAAACCACCTTCACTAAGTGGGTAGGTCAGAAGGTCAGAAAGCGTTTTTACAAAGTCACCTCCTGCCCAACCCTACCCTTGACTGCGGGGGTGTCTGCACCCTCCTGTCCTCGGGCCAGGTGACAAGCCGGGTGCAGGACAATGACTTGGGCCTCACCCCCCCCCCTCCCCACCACCACCACGAGCTTCTAAACTAGCAGGACATGGGGACAGGTACCCAGGAAACCAAAGTCACAGCATGTACTTAACCATGCCCCTGTGTCAGGGGAAGGGCTGATGAAGGCGACAGTGTTTGCAGAAAGCTCTCCCCTGGCTAGCCCCCAAATTAGCGCACCCTCCCCACCTGCTGTGAGAGAGACTCAGCTCTATGGGAGAAGGGACGGCCTGGGTCAGGGAAATAGCACAGGAGAAAGGCAGGCGAGGGTTCAAATCCTGGCTCCACCATCACCAGCTACGTGAACCCACGCTAGTCACTCAATCTTTCCTGGGGTTGCTGCGAAATTCTAATAAAATAACCAATCCTGAGCACCTAGCACACAGTAGGTCCTCAGTGAGGGAGGTCAGTAAGCTCCCTCTCCCCTCCGAGGTTCTCTGTCTGCAAACAGGGGACAATAGTACCTCATTCACATCACTGTTGCAAGGATTACAGGAAAAGACATTAAGTAAAGACAGGGCTTCTAGCCAAACAGTCAGCCTGGACCCTTCACAAACGCCAATGTCTTCTCACACACACACACACACACACACACACACACACACACACACACACACCCCGGGAACTGTTCTCGATTAAAGGACTCTGAAGAGACATGACAACTAAAAAGGACATGTGAGCCCTGACTGGATCTTGGTTTAGAAGAAGAAGAAACTATAAAGGGGATTTGGGGCAATTGGGAAAATGTTGGTAACGTCCTATAACCATGTTAAATCCCCAGTCTGATAACGGTGTGTCACCAGGTGGGGAGCGTCCTCAGGAGACACACGCTCAAGTCTGTAGGGGGAAGTGACCTGACATCATCAACTTACCCTTAAATGGTTCAAAAACAACAAAAAATACCCACAGAAGGAGTCAACAAGTTCCATAAGACATTAACAACTGGCCATCAAGAAAAAGGAACATAATTCTTGCAACTTCCTACAGATTTGAAATTTCTCAACATAAAAAGCAGCCACGCCGAGGGCCCAATGGGGGGGCGCTCTGTCGCCGCCCCGCGTCCATCACTCAGCCCACGCGCGCCCCCTAGTGGCTCACCTGGCTGCAGCACCCTGATCTCCAGCAGGTTGGAGGTCCTGTCGGCCAGCCGCGTCCAGGAGTTGTTGTAGTTGCGCCACCACAGCTCTGCCACGCACTGGTACTTGCCCGCCTCCGTGTCACTGGCTCGGCTGATGCTCAGGCGGACGTTGTTGCTGGACTCGGCCTTCTCGATGGCCGTTCGGGTTCTGAAAGTGGACGACCGATCCCCCCACTGGACCCCTCCATCCCGGGTAAAGGTCACCAGGTCATGGAACTCGACGGTGCCCACCGGCTGGAACCGCCACGTCACTGACACGGGGACCCGGGATGGGTAATGAGGTTTGATGATGCACTGCAGGTCAAAGGAATCGCTGTAGGTCACCCCCGGCGTGCGCGAGATGGCTGTGACCGCAAAGCCCGTTTCTGGAGAGAGACCAGAGAGCCTCAAGCTAGAGGAGACACTTGGCTTTCTCAGGGCAGTGTCATTTTTGAAGGCGGCCATGTTCCTCTACTTGGGGCCACCATTCCCGCTGAGTGACCTTGCTTATCTGGCCAGAATTCTTACTTTACTCCCACCACCCAGACCCAGGAGTGGGAACAGCTTCCAGCTGTGGCCAGTCTCCAGGTGCCCCACCATGCACTGTTGGTTCCCTGCCCGCACTTCCCTAGAAGGTTCCTTCGATTAAATCCTTTGAAGGTCCCCTCTGTTTCCTGCCAGGACTCTTGACTGATAACAAGTCAGGCTAAGGTTCTTGACCTGGGAGCAGTCTCCCCAGCAGTCCCACTGAAAGGGTTCCAGCCGCCTACTTACCGAGAGCCGTGATGGAGACAGGGGTGCTGGCTCGGCGCTCCCCCACGATCTGCCACTCGCCGTCCACTGCCCGCACCCATTCGGTCACGTGGCATTCGTACTGGCCCTCGTCCTCCTTCCTGCTGTTGAAGATGTTCAGGCTGAAGGAGTTGGGCTGCACCTGCTCCATCTGGACAGACCCGAAGCTGCTGCGCTCCCAGTAGGATGCGCCCGGCTGCACAGTGCCGTCCCGGTCCAGCCACATGATGTTGCTGCGACGGTTCTGCCTGTCCACCAGCTGCCAGATGACAGAGAAGCGGCCCTGTGGCCGGCCCGCTGTGCGGATGCTACAGGAGAAGTGCAGGTTCTCGCCCTCAAGGATGACGCTGGCATTGCTGGCCACCTCCACAAAGATGCTGCTCTCTGGGGAGAGGGAGAGAGTGCCACGCTGGGGCTTTCCGGTCTCCACGGCGCCCTCCCCACAGATGTACAAGGATGGGTGCAAACGTCATCCTCTTCACGTCATCCTTTATCCTTGGAGGATAAAGGCCCTCTGGCGCTTGCTTGTGTCAGCCCTGGCTGGTTCTGGGGCCTTGCTCCCCATGATTTTAGCTCTGATAATCTAGCAGGTCTTTCGCTATGCACAGGAGACTAGGAGGATGAGGGTCTAAGACCTGGGACCGAATCAGAACCTAATGAATACAACACGATGACATGAGGCTTAGGGCACAAAACAACTTATCAGGTCATCTGTTCAGCTGGGGCTCAGGAATTTTCAATTTGGATTTTCAGGGAGTTGAATTACTCAAGAAATTCTACTGCACCTCAATCGTTCCACCAATCGTTGCTACAGCAGTAAGATAAAAACTGGCATCCAAACCATGCCATTTGAGTCCTTCAGGCCAATATTAGGAAGTAGAAAAAAAAAATGATGGCATGTATTTGGAAGATAATGTGTGCCTGGCTGTGGATAATAATGGGCACAGATGGTCTAGTTTCACAGAGTGTGTGACGAGCGAGCTTTCGTATTTTCATTAACACCGAGGAACAGAACAAAGCCACTGGCTCACCACTGCCTGTCCACATTCAGCCCTGGGGTTCCTGGGCTCTTGCCCTTGAAACATTCTGCCAATCAAAGTTGGGGGTAAGGACTTCACTCCCTTTGCTCCTTTGCTACTTATGAGCTCACTCAATTGAATTATTTAAACTCTATATACCTTCTTCTGTAAGACAGCGAGAGTGTTATTTATCTCATGCAGTTTTTTAAAGTATCTCAGGCAATGTATATACATCACCTAACACACAGAGGTTTTTAAAAATTAGTCACCATGATCATGATTCACTGTACTATTCCCGGTAATTCTTTGTTTTTATAAACATCGTTTATAAACATTGTGGATGTTTTCATCTACCGTAATCATGCACATATTATTTCGTATAATTATCTATATTAAGTTCAAAAAGCCATAAGTATGAAAGAAAACAAAATCCCATAACTAATTTGGCTCCAATTTTCTGGGCACGCGCACGTAAAGCACATATAACAATTTGAAATTGATCAATTAAATCAAATCCCGGATTCAGAGGCACAACCAATTACGGAGGGGAAATACACGCACACCCATGACCATGCATTTGAATCAATCTCGACTCCCCTCTCTCTCCCCTGCAGGCAGAAACAGGCAAAGATGAGCACCAAGCCCCTGCATGAGGCTCTTGTTATGGTGAGTATGCCTGCTACCCAGTCTGAATGGGCGAGTTTCACACAAACAAAAGGTCTGGACAAGGTGGGAAATAGGATTTTCCCAGGAGGGAAACCTCCCCAGGAGCCACACCAAGAGGATTCATGGAGATGATAAAGCTCCTGCTTAGCCAGCAGCTACATCACTAGTGGCTGCAACATGGACTTGAAGGCAGGCAGGCCTGAACTCTGACCCCGTAATCTTGGGTTCTTCCCTAACCTGCCCAAACTTCAAATTTTCACGTGCAAAATGCAAAGGCTACTTTTCAGGGTCACGGCACTGAAAATACGAGATGAAGTAATTCTTTTCCATCATCTCATGGATGGTAACAATATTCCTCTTTTGATGAAGGGCTTATCCCCAGTGTTATCACTGCCAAGTGGGGAATTAACAGGGCAATTTCAGCATCAAGGGGAGAAATCCCTTTGCTTGCATGAAGCAGAAGAATGGCTTTAGAGGGCATCACTCCCACCCCTTACTGTCACCCCAGGGGACTCTTATGTAAGCGCTGGCTTGTGGATTAGGAGGGCTGCTGTTTGGTGTTCTGTTGATCCAGCAAGCCTGGAAAAAACACAGGTAGAACATGGAACTCCGAGAAGACAAACCAGGCAAATATAGACGTGGTGCTGCACTGCCCGGTGAGACTATTTATTATACAAGTGTTCCTGGGTCTGAGCAAAGGCAGCCAACAGTTTAAAACACTCTAGATTAAGTGCAAACTAGGACAGTACTAATGAGAATCTGAGTGCATGTTCACAAAGGAAATTTCCAATCAGGAGGCTGATGAGGTAGCACAGGCTAATAAGCACAGAGCAGTGGCTTTGGCGGTAGAAGCAAATATTTCTAATGCAATGCAAGCTGAACCACTTCTCGGGATGGTGCTCTGGCTTCTTCCTTCCATAGGATGGGTACGATACTGGCCTCTACAGGGAGTTCAGGGCTGGGAGCAGAGACGGAGATGATAGATGCAGAAGCACTTTCAGCTCTTGGGGAGGAAAAGCGCCATTAAAAATCCAAGGTATTATCACCATTCCCGATGTGATCATTTTCTTTGGTAGACTTACCCAAGTGGCCTTGGGGCAGGATCTGGTGGTTCTGGGGGACTTTAACTACCCAGTCATCTGCTGGAAAAGCAATATAGCAGGCCACAGATCATCAAACAAGTTCTTGGAAGGGGTTTGGGGAAAATCTCTTAGCACAAAAGATACAGGAAGTAAACAGTGTGGCTGCCCTTCGTTGGGTCCTTACAAAACAACGAGGGATTAGTTGCAGATGTCAAAGCAGAGAGTCCGTGCGTGGTTACTGAGGCAAGTACTGACTGATAGGAAAACAGTGGCGAGAGGGGGCATTCGTTCCACCGTTTCAATTCTACAAATATTCAGCAAGCACCTATCCTATGCAAAGCACCATGCTAGGTATTACAGGGAGAGGGGGGGAGTCTAGAAACAAAATAGTTTTGAGATAATTAGGTGTGTGGGATTAAAACAAAAAGCATGAAAGAAAGTAATCCTGTTGGTGAGAAAAGAAAAAAGAGTGGCGAGACCCCTGTGTCAATTTTTTTTCTTCACACTCGAAGAGAACTATCTTAAAAATGTAAAAGTGTAAATAAAAATGTAAAAGGAATCATGACAAGGGTAAGAGAAAGAACAGTTTGAGCAGCTGAGAAAAGATTAAAGGTTAGTTTAAACACTTCACCATTATTTTTTTTTTTAATCAGGGCATTATAAGCTTTAATTCTCTTTTTACTAAAAACAGAACTGTGAGAGAAATGAGATGTTAATGACAACATCCTGGTACTATGGATGATTAAACACAACAAGAGCAAACATAGGTAGTCCCCCAAGTACCCAGCCATGACTGTGACCAACCCAGACAATGCCAGTTTACATGGAGGCCAGGAGCCCACCTAGGCAGCCTCGAAAACCAGCCACACCTTAAAACTCTATGCTCCATGAAGATATGAGAGGTCCCAGGCACTGACTTTTAAAAACACACTTTCAATAGGGAAGAGACAGTTAGGGAATTGGGCAACCCCACTAACCCCCAAAACCCAGAGAACAAATCCTTCTTAATAATATGCTTTATGATTTAAAATCCTCCCGTACAAGACCAACCCTCTTAAGTGAGATGTCAAGATGGGCATGTACCCACTTTTTCTGGGACTCAATTCCGCACATTGGACCAAACAGCTGTCCTGAATTCCTGGTTTTCCTTCCAGCTGAGCTGGCACTGTTGCTAGTGCCTGGGTCTGCGATGACCCCTCCAGCTGCAAACACAGCCCTGATGCTCTGCCTACCTGGGGGCGGTCACTAAGTGTGGGCAGGTGAGCTGGAGGAGGGTGCTAGCCTGCACCCTCGAGCTCCGCTTCCCCTCCCTCCCCTCCACCACGGCTCTCCTTGTCCCCGCCCCCAACCTCTCTCCAGTGATGCTACTGGACCAGACCACGGGAGGACGAGAAGGAAGCAGTGCCTCTCTCCACTTACTGAGGGGGAGGACTATGATGGGGATGTTCTTTGGGCGCTTGCTCTCCTTGTCGATGAATTCCCCGGTGACCGTCTTCTCTCTCTCCGTCACGCGACAGTTGTATTTCCCGCTGTCTTCCTGGCGCAGGTGGTAGATCTTTAGCACAAAGACGCTGTCGCTCTCTTTGGCCACTTTAAGCTGTCCCCTGGCTTCCCGATGGGCAAATTCACTGTTGAGGACCGGCACGGCATTGGGCCCCATGCTGGCGATGAGCGAGCTGTTGAAGGCCCAGGAAACGGCGAAGTATCGGTCAGGAATGTTCTGAGCCTCGAGGATGCATCTGAACTCCACCGGCTCCCCCATGGTGTATAGCCGCTTCTCTGTTTCCAGCCGGACGGTGAACTCTTTGTCTGAGCAAACAAATCACAAAACGGGCATGTTCTGGGTGAACAAGGACCCCAGCTACCCAGACTGCGTCAGCACAGTCCCACCACCCTTGCCTTCTTTCCAATGATGGCTGCAGGCAAGGCGCCACCACACCTGTCCTGAGAGAAAAATCCAGCTCGCAGCCAGGTGACCTGAGAAACCCTCGGACATCACAGAGGGAACTCAAAGGTAGCCAGACTCAGACAGTCTGAAGGGCCTCTTATCCCAGTCAACACCAACAGGCTCTGTCTATAGCTTCGAATACCCTAGATCAGACCCCCGAAAGTCAGTACGGAACTCCTAATATTGCCTACACGGCATATCGCAAAGGTCTAGCCTTGACCTCCACACCCAGAACTCCATTTAAGCAACAGGATTACACATAGTTTCAGCGGATATTTTGGACTGACCCCCCTCCCCCACTGAGGTTTCTGAGACAAAATGACACAGTCACCTAGATGCTGACCCCAATCCTAACAAATACTCAAAAATGAATAATATATTGAAATGCATCCCCCACCCCCATGTGAATGCTGGAAATAACACACAAGTGAGACAAACCCTACATAGGGAAAATAAAACGGATGGCTTTTCACTAGTCTCCACCTGTTAAATCTTTAGAAAGATGGAGTCGGAAAGCACCTATTTCCGCTGAAAGCGAGAACACCTCTGGAATGGGCAGTGAACACAAGCACCTTCAAAGAGTTGGGTATTTAATCAGGCATGAGAGGTGACCCACGAAGGGCTTATCGCCATGAACGATGTCCCAGCACACCACGTAAAGGTGCATGGTGCTGTCACTTCCATGGGACTGTTCCCGTATCTCACAGGCACCCATGGCAGAAGGTGGGGGGGTGGGGTAAGACAAAGGAGTCGAGGGTTGGAGAGAACATTTTGTTCCAGAAAACAGAACTACAGAACCCTGGGTAGGGGAGGCTTAGCTGTAACCAGTGCCCAAGTCCCTCCTCCTTCCAATTCTAGCTCGGTTCCTCTAAAGAGAACACTGAGGGGGAATCACAGTACATGGATGTCTGAATTCCTTGTAGGTTCATTAGCTCCAACCGCAGTTGCCTTCCCTACACTGGCGTTTCCAAGCCTCTACAACCATCTTCAAGACCCCTGTCCTATTTTCACTCCCATCCCATGCACTCTGCAAGAGATGAGAATCCTATTTCCCTGAAAAAAACAAAGACAAACCAGAATCGTGAGAGTACTTCTGACATGGCTCTTGCCAGCCCCACCTTGGCTTTGCACCCGCCCATTCTTTAGGCTCTCCGTCTCCTCCCCTCCCACGGGGGCCAGTGGCTAGCTGCAAACACCTGTTTTTTCCTAGTGAATTTTCTCCTTCCTTTATTACCCAGACTTCCTCACCGAGCAAGTAACTCTCTGCGCCTCCGGCGGGCTCACCTCCACTGTGATCGCTGCGGCCGCAGCTTTCCTTTCCCCGAAGACCACTCCTAAGAGACATGGGTTGAAAGCAGCAGGTTTTGCTCTGTCACCCTCTGCCTAGAAGAACACACCTACGTGGAACTGTGCCATGTTTTCCAGGTATTGGCTGTCTGGTCAACCAAATTACAATATTTTATAACTCAACATCAATGATTAAAAAAAAGGGGGGGGGCGGCCAGGTGGTGAGCTGTGCTCCCCGCAACTAGATAGGAACACGGCACCTTGAGCTGAGCTGCTGATGGGTGGACAGATGGCTCAGTTGGTTAGAGCTCATGCTCTTAACAACAAGGTTGCCGGGATGGTGGACTGCACCCCCCAAAACTAGATTGAAAACGGCGACTGGACTTGGAGTTGAGCTGCGCCCTCCACAACTAAGATTGAAGGACAACTTGACTTGGAGCTGATGGGTCCTGGGAAAACACACTGTTCCCCAATAGTTATAAAAATTTTTTTAAAAAGCACCCGTTCAACATAAATGCCACTGAAGATGTGCGATCGCATGCCCTAGACCTCGGACCTTCCCATTTCCTCAGTTAGGCCAGCTGCCAGCTGTGGCTTTCTTCTTCTGCAACCCCCTGGGGCTTGGTGACGCCTTCGCGATCCCAGCTTGAACACACAAGATGTGCAGCCTGTCACCCTCCTTTCTGCATAGCGATTTGCCCTTGGTTATACCCAGTCAATTAAACCTCTTGAAATTGATTAATGCTTTTTCCAATACCCCCTTACTCCTCAGCTCACTGAAATTTCACTGACCTAGCAAGTGTCACTAATGACTCCCTCTCCCAACCCCCCAACACAACCAAAAGCTTTTCTCAAGCGGGAGTCGGCCTCTGGAGGACCAGTCGTCTCCCTGAGGCTCTATGACACCTGCCGTCCTGCTGCTCCTCTCGCTTGCCCGGCTACTCTGTTTCTCTCTCTCAGTGGGACCGGCTCCTCTGACCCCCTCTTCCTGCTGCTGTTCTCCTGGGCCCTTCCCTATTTGTACCCCATGGGCTTTTCCTGGGGCCTCATCATTCCCAAGTTCAAACTCCAGTCGAACTCTATGTCTGATGACACGCTGGTGTTTCACATGCTGAGTGTCTCTGTAAGAGTCTGCTTGCAGGATGGACTCTTTGACTAAAATTTACAGAAACAAAAAGACAACCAGGGCTACACTCACGGGGAAGCAGACTTTCCAGCAGGACTTTGCATGTCCTCCCCCCTCCCTACCTATCATGGTTCAAGGAATTACCATGAGTACCAGCCCCTCAGACAGTGGGATTCCTCCTCCCACAGTGCCCCCGTCCTCTGCTGTCAGGCCCCTGCCACGCTCCTAGTCCTGGTCTCTCCCACCTGCTGTCTCGACTTCACACCAAACCTGTATAATCAACTTCTAGGTGGCCTCCATGGTCTTTTTCCTTCTAGACCCATTGGATTATGTCACTCCCTGCTTAAAAATCTCCATTCCCCCACTTTCAAGTATCTGCAGCAGTGGTTTTCAAACTTTACTGCGGGGGTTGGAGGACTTCCTTTTTTCATACAAAATCTTTTGGTGCTCAACATAGAAAACATATAGTTGAATCAAGGGGGAAACACTGAGGCCGTCACATGCCTTCTTCCAGCACCTCTGGCGTGCACACGTACACACAGGCACATGCACACCCACGTGCAACTTCTCAGACACCTCGAAGAGGCTTTGAGGGTCCCAAGAAGAACAGCTTGCAAACGCTTGGTCCATGCAGTCAAGGCCAAGTTCCAATACACGGGCTTCAGGCTACCGTTCCTTTCTCCTCTCATCACTCATGCCTGCAACTCAACAGCTACTGATACTTGACTTCTCTCTACTTGCCAGACATGTCAAACAGACTTGTACCTTTATGCTTCTCTTCCTGCCATCTCCTCAAGCTTCAAGACTCAGCTCAAGTCACCAAACGTGTTGGTTTTCCTGGATTTGCCTTAACCACAATCTCATCCAGGGAAACGGTTGTTGTAAGAACACTTCACATCAACTGCGTTCCCAGAGCACTCGATACATAATATGCTATCACAGCACTTAGCACACCCCGCTTAGCCACTGCTTTCATACTAGCAAGGTCCCTGCGTGTTATTCATCTTCAAATCCCCAATGCTACCACCACACCTCCAGTGCTGTGGAGACTTACTGTTTACTGAAATGAGCTAAGACAACGGCAGAGCTGGGGCTGTAACCACTGAGCCTGAACAGCACAGTGACCCAGAGTGAACTCATCGGCTTATTGTTCACCTAGTTTTCCCTTTGCTGACTTAGTTTGGATACATTGGCTGGGCAAACTAAAAAACTCCTAATTCCAAATTGGTAAGATCAAAATAAAGATTAACTGATGCAACCTAATTTCAAAGCATTAAGACTCAACATTTGGTGCAGGCATTTGAAGCTGATCTTAAAATCATGCAGGAAGAGAAAGGATACATATTAAATAAAGAGCCTTCTGTAGATTTCTTAACAGTAGAAGATCCAGAAGCTGCTAAATGCTCTAAGTCCAACAGAGCAGGTAAAGTGCTACCTGTCCAGGAGCCCAGGACTTCTCAATAAAGCTCTCACATCCATCAGATATCCAGAGAGTCACTTCTTCCCCGTTCCCTATAGAGCTGTGCTTCACAGAATGACCCTTCACAGTGGAAACCCAGCTTCCTAGTTCCCACCCAGGAGCCTGACTCAGGAACAGGTCCTGTTCCAGCCCAGGAACCTGCACTGTTAGGTAGGTCAAAAGCCAGAAGAACAGGTGGCAGAAGACCAAGACTGCTGATGGCAGCAAATGGGACAGACAGGTCAAGAAACAGGTGCTGATGAGGGGACCCCACCTGCACCTCAGATTCCCCAGCTCATCTCCCACGAAGCACACCCCCACTCAGCAGGACAGCTGTAGCCTCACCAGAGGCCAGCACTACACAAGGCAATTCTCTCAGGCCACTCTCTGCACCTCAATGACAGCATGATGACCACCCTCAACCAAAGCTGGGGGACCAATGGCCCGTGAAGGGCCTGTCCCCAGCCCAGCCGAGGCAACAGCTCTCAGCTCCACTCGAGCACGGCTGGACTTGGGGTTCTGCAGGGTACAGCCTGACATTGTGGGAGAATAAGGCAAGGAGTCAGGGAGGATCTTAGCTCATGGTGCTGCCACCACCTTGGCCCAGATCTAAACACATCACACACCCTCCCCAGGGAACCCCCTTTCCAGGTCTTTCACTTGAGGAAATATTTACGGTGGAACCTGGTACTCTCCGGGCTGGCAACAACATACCCCGTGACTTCCTGGGGCCCTGCTGTAAAACTACCTGCATCTGTCATCTTCCCTGCCACCTACTTACCTCACAGAACCTCTGAGGGACTGTGGAGTGATACATGACAAAGCATTTGGGTAATTATAAAACACCACCAATAAAAATATTATTAATATAAAAAATAATCACTGACACCCAAATTTCTCTAGCTTGTCATATCATATCTATGATGGAAGGAAGGCTCCTAATCTCAAAAGTCTTCTACAAATGACACCAGATTGGTACCTGAAGCGGGCCATGTCACCAAAGAGGGCGGTCACGTATCTAATGGCAACCCAGTCACAAGACACAAATGGTTTAGGTGAAATCTCCCAATTTTTAAAATGAATTTGTAGTTCAATAAAATGTGAAACGCCATGTAGGTTAAAGAAACCATGTCTGTAAGCAGGATTCGGTCTGTGCAGCTCCTCTCTGTGACTCACTGGCAGGTCAAATATTAGGGTCCCTGGGCCTGATACGTCCTTCAGCACCCCCTGGTGCACGGGCAGGGCCATCTTTAACTTCCCATGAAAACCTAGTGCCCTTTCAGGGGTCACTGCAGAAGGAGTCTGCACACCCTCCCCGTGTCTGACAACCCTCCCCACCGGGTAGACGGTGGGATAGAGAGGCTGACCTGTGGGCTGGACCGTGACCACGGTTCCCTCAGAACGCTTCCGGGTCATGGCGTACCACGAGCCGTCCGGATCCTGGATCCACTCGGCGGCCTCACAGTAGAACTCGCCCTGGTCGGAAGGCTGCAGGTGGAAGACGGTGAGGCGGAAGGTGGTGCTCCCCAGCTTGTCCAGCCGCACCTCCCCCAGGCTCTGCCTCTGGGCGTACTCGCTGCTGGAGTGAAGCACGAAATCTCGGCTCAGGGCAATGACCTCCACAGGCTTCTCGCTGCCTCTCTGCCGGAGCCAGGACACAGACAGGTGGCTGTGTTGGAACGTCTCCACGGCCACCTCGCATGTGAGCTCCAGGGGGTCCTGCTCCACTTTGAGCAGAGTCTGCGGCATGGCGGTGGTCTGCAGGGAGTCTGGGATCACTGCAACACAGAGGCGTGCATGGTCACCACAAAGCCACGGAATCTGACATTCACAGGACAGGACTGAAGCTGTCCTACGTCAGGCACATCATGAAGGCAGGGTGCTTTGGAAAAGACAGTAATGTTGGGGAAAATGGAAGGCAGCAGGAAAAGAAGACGACCAAACATGAGATAGATTGACTCCATAAGAGAAACCATGGTCATGAGTCATCAGGAGCTGAGTGGGGCTGTGAGGACAGGACATAGTGGATGTCACTCATTCATAGAGTCACCGGGAGTGGGAGCTGACTCAACGACACATAACAGCAACAAAGCTCCCACCCACACAGCCTTCAACCGTTGCTGCGAGGCCACAGATGACCCCTGATGGCACAGAAACAGTTTTCTCTGCGTTTGGACTGCAAGTTTGGGGTGCTTACACTGACCTGTTTGGTATTTTCATAACACTCAAGATAAAAGGCCAGATTGTATTCCATTTTACATAGCACATGAACACCTTACAAATACTGTGTACAAAGTATTTTCTTGTAGGCAACATTAGATTTTGTTGCTCATTTTGGTATTGCTTCAAGATACCTGAAATTGGCTTCTTCAAACAGAACTCAATCCTAGAACCTGGGGAGTTTACATTTCTATACAACTTCCTCATTTCTTCCCATCCAGTCGACACCAACTGACCTCAGCAAGGCATTGCTCTAGGAAAGCTATTTAAAAACAAACAAACAAACAAAACCACCTCCACTTTTGGCAGAGAAAAGCATCCTCCTCCTCGATTTTTTAGCAGGTTTAGTTTTCATAGACTTCGCACTGAATGTGGCAGAGTGGTCCACAGTGGAAGGAAGCCACAGTATGGGCATGATTCAGGCAAGTGATGACATTTCCCCGCGGTCGCTTTGTCAGAATTTTACTCTGGAGACTAACCACCACCCCTCTCTGACTGATGCGACCAGTCACAGCTAGTGTGTGTTTTCTCATTGCACCCATCTCAGGATTGGATCTTACAAGCCTCCTGCTGGGGTGCAGGCTTGTCAGGAGGAAAAGCCACCAAAGGAAGCTAGAGGTGGAGGGAGTGGGGAGGTGGCAGTGTGGACAGCACAGGGCCACAGAGCTGGCCAGTGGGAAGAAACAGCCATTCCAGTTTTTATTATCACAATGAAGCCTGGCAATTGTGACTTGGACAGACAAACTGAAGAGCCCTGACAGTACTGACCCTTCACACTGAGCTCCCTCCGTCGTTCAGGGAGCACGGGGCCCGGGGTGACGGCTGGCGCACATGATTTACGCATGGAGCCAGGACCTGCAAACGCACCCTGGGTCTGAGCAAGGAGCTGCAGCTGTGCTCACTTCCTGATTGGGCAGCACCCCAGGCGTCTCAGAGCTCACGCAAGGGCCCACCACTTCCGAGAGCTTGCGCCTGTCTTCCAGCTGATGTCATACACTTCATCATCCTCGTCATTTCTTCAGCCCATCAACCACAAACATCCTTGCCTAACAGTTTCATATCCCCTTTCGCCTGCTACAGGGCTAGTTAACCCCTTAACATCTGCTTTAGGTCTTCTTAAAGTGCCAGCCTCAACCTTCTATTATATATAAGGAAACACATAAACTTTGTTCACTTATATTACCTGTTGACCTCTAAAATATTTGGGTAGGATTTTTTATTTATTTTACTTTTTTTATTGGGGAACTGGGGGGATGGGAACAGTGCTGGGGAATTGGGGGAAGGGGAACAGACAAGTTGCTATCCTTTTGTTCTTCAGTCTAGTTGTGGAGGACGTTGCTTCACTGGCCCAAGTTGGCACCATCATTGTGCTCTTCCCAGGCAAGGCACATCAGTCGCCGGCTTCTGGACGGCCGCTCACTGCAGCTGCTGGCCACTCACGCTGGCTGCTGGCTACATACGGTAGCCCATGGCAACCCACCGCCACAGGGGCTGCAGCCTATGCCGTCGCCGGCGACTCACGACTCACAGAAGCCCAGCTCCAGGTTGAGCTGTTGTTGTTCAGCATCTTAGCTGCGGAGGGCAGTGTCACTGGCCCTCATATGTGGGATCCAAACCGGGGCCCTCTGGTGTCCCAAGTCAGTTCTTAACCATCGCGCCACTCGGCCGGCCCGATTTTTTTTTTTTAAGTCAAAGAAAGTTGTACTCTAAAAGAAGTGACTCAGTGTTAGAAACTGAGTCCCCACTAAACTCACATGTTGAAATCTAATCCCTGATGCGATGGTATCTGGGGAGGAGGTCTTCAGGAGGTGGTTGGGTCATGAGGGTGGAGCCCTCAGGAATGGGATTAGTGCCCTTATAAAGGGACCTCAGAGAGAAATCTCATTCCCTTCCCACCACAGGAAGATACAATGGGAAGACAGCGGTCTGCAACCTGGTGGAAGAGGGCTCCCACCAGAACCAGCCAGGCTGTTACCCAGCCTCCAGAACCTTGAGAAATAAATGCTTGTTGTTCAAGCCACTCAGTCTATGGTACTTTGTTACAGCAGCCCGAACTGACTACGACTGTCAGGCAGGATACTGGCCATGTAAAAACAGTCATCTCCTTACCCATTAGGTTCATCTTAGCACTGTAACTCCCAAAGTAGCGGTCATCGGTGTTGGGTGTGTGGCATTCGTACTCCCCAGCGTCCCGGGCCTGGAGATCCGTGATGTGCAATAAGGCCGAGTTCCCCTGGACTCGCTCCACATAGATCTTCCCACCGCGGACACGCTGGGTGTAGATGGCGTAAGGGAAGGAGGAGTCCATGGTGCTGATGATCTGGACCTCACGCTCTGGGGCGGACGGCAGGTAAATGGACCACTGGAAATTCTGCTCGGAAGGTCCCTGGTAGCCACTCACATTGCACCAGATGGTGATGTGGGAGCCCTCTGTGCGGTACAAGGGTCCTTCCTGGACAGCAACGTGCCGCTGTGCTGTCACGACACCTGTGGAGGAGACACACACAACATGCTCGCTTACTTCTCAGACCCAAATGCAATGGAGGCAGTCATCGTCAAAGGGTTTGTTTTTGTGTGACATGATAACAATATAAATAGATTATTGGCCCTTTCTGAGGCACTCTGTGATTTATAAATATTAATTAAAACACTCTGTGGTTAGAGCACTGTCCCTAATTTGCATACATGGGAATTTGATCATGCAAGGACATGGCTCTGTTACTTATTCAAAGGTGAACCCTTGGGAATGTCATTTAGTCCCTCTGTTTGGCATTTATGTGGCAGTTTTATATCTATTTATTAATGCTGTTTATAAAGTTTTTAATAAAATGAGCAGGAAAGTTGAATCCTTGGCACAAATTCAGATGGAAACAAATAAAAGCAACCATCTTGCAAAGTGGCTTAAATGAAATGCTCCTTTTGTGGGTAGAGGGCTCATGGGAGGGAGTCCCAGTGCCCTTTCTTTGGTGCTGCACCCTTCATTTTCAAATGTAGTTCCTCCCAGGACACGATGTGGAGGAACAGTCCTGACTTCCTCAGCCCCCCATGAATGGAGGCAGAGCTGAGCATCTGCAGGCTACTCCAGCTTTAAGCTGAATATACCCCAACTTGAATGTGAAGGGCTAAAAGCACATCCCTGCTGCCCAGATGCCTGCACGCTGACGATGGAGGGAAGTGACAGCACAGACGGGTAACCCGGAAGTAAGGCTGCCCTTGAGGTCACAGCTCTGATTCCCCCACTGGCGCCCCCTGCCTTCTGTCTGGGACATGCTTCTCCAGGGTCGCCTCTGCCAGCTTTCTCCACATTCTTTTAAACATGGTCGCCCTCTTGCAGACTCGTGGATGGGGAAATAGGGTGGGTTTAATTCCCCATTCCAAGCCACCAGAACACTGATGCTGCCTGAGCCACTGAGAGGGTGGCCTAAAGGGGCACAGCCCTTAGGCCTTCTCCTTGGCCGAAGCTGGGCATGACAGTGTGCTAGGAAGAGCAAGTGAGTTCTAGGCACAGCTTTGCCAGGAAATGGACCTGGCTGTGTGCGTCATCCTGGACAAGCGCTTTTCCACTCTGGACCTTGATCTCATCTATAAAATGATTTGAAGGCTCTGGAACAGACTAGCATGTATGCCAGGGTTAGCTTTGTCACTTAGTAGCTGTGACCTTGGATAAGTTTTAACCTCTCTGAGCTTCAGTTTCCTGACCTGTAAGATGGGGATAATAACGTGTGCCTCACAGAGTTATCAGAAAGACCAAATAAGATCAATTCTGTAAAGCCCCTAGCACAGGGTCTACCCATAATCATCAGTCCTCAATAAGAGCTGCTCGCTAAGCCCCTTCTGGCTGGAACATTCTGTGGCTCTAGACCTACAGAGGACAGGACTTGGCCAGCGATAACTCAAGGACAGGCCAATGGCCTCTTGACAATGACACCATCTCTGGTGTCTCCACCCACAGCTGCAGCCCACTCCCACTCCCATGAAAGCTTCTTGCCCGCCCTCTAAAAGGGAACCACAGCTGCCCCCGTGTAAATCTATGTGATGGGCTCCTCCAGCTGGTGAGCGGCTGGGACAGCTCAAGTGCTGATGGGCTGTAGCTCTAAGCCCAGCCTGGGGCTGTCTGTGCCTCAAAGCACGCTGATTCATTATGCAAAATGACCAACTTCCAAACAGACCACACAAGGAAAGGCCCTGGCTTCTAAACCCTTCTTCATGCAGAGTCTTTTCTCCCAAAGAAAATCTTACATGGAAACCCATCTTGGCTTCAGCAGTAGAAACAAGAAAACTGAAAATGCGGGCGGGAGATGGGGGGATGGGGACAAATCAACAGATCAAAGTGGTACATTCTGATTGACTGCATTTATTTCAATATTAAGTCATCAAGAAGGCATGAGTTATTTTCAGTACATTAAATTTTGCTGTATAACATTTAGACTATGTGTACTCTTTTTATGACAATTTAAAAAAATCTATATAGTGACATTTGAGTCCAATGTTTGCAAGTATTCCAGAATCAAAGGAATTTTGAAAATAATTTAGCTCCGTTCATAATGTTGAGGTCTCCTTGCATTGCAGTGTTTTATGACCGGAACAGCCACAGTCACTCCCCACCGGCTGCAAAGAAGGCTGGAGGCAGGTCAGGAGGTGCCAGCATCTTCCTGTAAGGGGCTATTTCTCAACTTGGGACCCACAGTGGCACCACTTGGGGAGCTTTAAAAAAATAACAGGGCCTGGACCTCACCCGATGTTAACTGGTCTGGGGTGCAGCCAGGGCATTAGAGGATTGTTAAAAATTCTAACGCAGAGCAGGGTCACAAACTGTTGCCACGAGGTGTCTCTACCTGCCCATATTAAAGAACATATGCTAAAGTAGGCTCTCAATCGCTCTAAGCTCCTCCCTGCTATAACAACTCTACATTGTTTGGGTCAAGAAAATTTCATTCGTTTTTGTCTTGTGAATGGGCAGCAGAAAGCAGCAGAGGCCCATCAGATACCGGCTATTGTGATGCAATACTGAGCTTACCCAGAGTGCATTCTGTTTACAGACCTCCCTAGAGCACTTGATCATGGGATCACTACATTACCACCCCCTGCCCTCCAGAAAGGTAAACAGTGTTAAGTGGGCTCAATGAGCCAGGGCACCAGGGTCAAAACAATTTGTCCAAGCCGGAAGCAGGTTATAAACAGCCCTGACAAATAAATAAATACTGGATTGTTCTTTAACCATACATACTTAGCGGCACCTGCTTATTAAATATTTCCTTCATTTCCTCCCTACGCCACAAAGGGCCTTTGGCCCCTGAAAATAAGGCTGCTTTTTAGGAAGTGGACCTTAACATAGAAATAAAAATGAACTTTTTCTTCTCAGCAGCTTAATTCCCTTCCACACCCCACCCTCCCCATTTCCTTCTTCTGCTGTGCAGACCTCATTCTCCTAGAGGCCGCTGCCTTCAAACAGACGCCAGCTCTGACCAAGGCATCCCCCGGCCCCACTGCCCCTTCCACCTTCCCTCTCAGCCTATGACAGAAGGCTCCTCTGGGCAGGCATCACTTTATTGTTTAAGTAGCAATTTTTACTTTGGACATCCCTGTACCCTTAATTACTTTGCAGTAAGCAGATACCACTTCTGTAATTCAAAAAGAAAAGATCAAAGTACTGTATGTAACTGTATTAAAAAGACTGGACACAAACGGCAGAAAGAGAGTAGAAGACAAAAATAGGAACCAAAAACAAGGGTAACAAATAAAAACTAGTAATGAATATGGTAGATAGTAATCCAAGTATATCAATAATAATCACCTTTGAATGTCAATGGTCTAAATGCACCAGTTAAAAGACAGAGATGATCAGAATGGATCAAAAAACACAACCCAATTATATCTTGTCTATAAGAAACCTACTTTAAATTTGAAGACACATACAGATTAAAAGTAAATGGATGAAGAAAAATATACCAAGTTAACATTGATCAAAAGAAAGCAGGAGTAGCTGTATTAATTTCAGACAGAACAGACTTCAAAGTAAGGAACGTTATCAGGGATGAAGAAAGACATTACATAATGATAAAGGAGTCAATTCTATAAGAAGACATAACAATTCTTTACGTGTATGCACCTAATGACAGCGCATCAAACTACATGACAAAAAAACTGATAGGACTGGAGGGAGAAATATGAATCTACTCTCATAGCTGGAGACTTCAACGCCCCTCTATCAGGAGTAGACAGACACAGGACGCAGAAATTCAGTAAGGACATAGCTGAACTCAACACCACCATCAATCAACTGGATACAATAGACATCTATAGACTTCTTCACCCAACAACAGAATACACATTCTTTTCAAGCTCGCATGGAACATTCACCAAGACAGGCCAATTCTGGGCTATAAAACACACCTTAAATTTAAAAGAATAGAAATTACACAATGTCTGCTCTCAGGCCATCATAAAATTGAACTAGAAATTGATAACAGAAAGATAGATGGAAACCCACCAAATACTTGGGAGATTAAACAACACACTTCTAAATAACACATAGGTCACAAAAGAAACCTCAGTAAAAATTTTAAAATATTTTGAACTAAATGAAAACCAAAATACAACTTAACAGAAGTCGTGATATGCAGAGAAACAAGTGCTTAGAGGGAAATGTATAGCATTGAATAAGAAGAAAGATCTCAAATCAATAATCTAAATTTTCACCTTAGGAAACTAGAAACTAAGGAAGGACAAATTAAATCCAAAGTAAGCAGAATCTATAATAAGAATTAGAGCAGAAATCAATGAAATTGAAAACAGGAAATCCATAGAGAAAAATCAACAAAACCAAAATCTGGTTCTTTGAAAAGATCAATAAAATTGATAAGCCTCTACCCAGGCTTAGTTAACCAGGCGAACTAAGAAAAAAAGAGAGGACACAAGTGATTAATATTTTTTTAAAAAATGAAGGAGGGGAAACCACTACAGATGACATGGAAATTAAAAAAATAATAAAGGGATGTTAGGAACAACTCCATGACCATAAATTTGATAACCAAGATGAAATGGATCAATTCCTTGAAAGAAACAATCTGTGAAAACTCACACAAGAAGAAAAGATGATCTGAATAGGCCTGTACCTATTCAAGAAATTGAATCAATAACCTTCCAAATCAGAAAGATAACAAAGGACAAAACCCAGATGACCTTGGGTGTGGTGATGCCTTTTAAGACACAACACCAAAGTCACAAATCCATGAAAAATATAATTGATGAGCTGGACTTTATTAAAATTAAAAACGTCTGCTATGTGAAAAAGAATATCAAGAGAAATAGAAGATAAACCACAGATCAGAAGAAAATATTTCTAAAAGACATATCTAATAAAGGACTGTTATCCAAAATATACAATGAACTGTTGGGGCCGGCCGAGTGGCTCAGTTGGTTAAGAGCATGAGCTCTGAGCAATACAGTTGCTGATTCGGTTCCCACATGGGCCAGTGAGCTGCGCC